AGAAGATCAGTTTATAAGATCACATAAATAAATATATCAACTATCTATGCCGAGGTTCATAGAAAGTCGGTCTTTCGAGTCATTTAGTAATCATTTCCGATGCTGTGAATTTATCTCTGTCACGCTTTGACAATGTACATGGAACCAATGATACGTAATACCTACCTAAGAATGTTTGCATATACATTCGCAACTAAAAATAATGAAAAGACAATGTTTAACGTTTTCTTTTCTGCCTTCTATAATTTTCATGGCAGGTTACTAAGCGAAATACAACCACAACGTTGCTGAGATATTTGCAAAACTCTGGACCGCAGGTGTCTATGGTGGGGAACGAACGCGCTATTATCCTTTCCGGGGAGTAACGCGTTCACCACCACACCATGCGGGTCCTTTGTTTAATGAAAAGATAATGAATTAATGATAATGAAAAGAGTAAGTAATCAGTTTGAAACTTCTTATAGCATTTTGTTTGGACACATATTTTGATATAGTGTTCCTTCGCAGCGCTCAGCACCAATGATTTTTACAGAAATAAACGTTTATGCTTGTAAAAGCTTGTACAAAGGCTATAAACGACCAATTGTAGCAAAGAGTTGGTCTCTTAGGTTTATACATTCCGGCATCACATAGTTTCACATTTAACGCCACCTTTAAAATTGTCTGCACTAGTCGGTTAGGGAGTATAGAAGACAACAGCAGTTCTACGGAACCGAGAAGGCGGCCTTCTGCTTCTCTGTGGCGGTGCGCGGGTCTTGCATGCATGGTGGAGTACTCCAAATACTGGTGGAGCATCCATGTCGATTGCATATTCTTCCCGGGTTATCCCTGAATTAAATCATGAAACAGGCGACATATCTCGAGAGGATAGAAGCTATCCTTCTTAAATTAATGTGAACCTTGTGAACAATAAGGTAAGTATAATGCACCTGAATAGTGCTCATCCGATGACGAAAGATCTTCAGATGAAGCAACGGGTGCCAATGGTGGAAGTTCTTGCAGCAGTTTTTCCCTGAAACCAATGTGTTTGATAAAGCAGACTAATATTGTTGGAATACACCGTTAATACTAGTGAAAAATCAAAATAATCGAAAAGGGTGAAAGGATAAAGCTCTTGGCGTTGAACAATCACTGAGGGATACGCCATGCATTCAACTTCATCAAGCACGTTCGGAGGTGACTGAATGCATATCTGGCTTATGCAATGACTCGCGGTGGTCTACCGAGGTATCGGGCCAGTATTGCTATCCTCCCAGACAAATATGATACCAATTTTCCGACTCCGAAGTGATGGAAGACTTGGTGGGCCAGGAGCACAGAGATCGATTCCATGTGTGTGTTGCAGGGCGCCTCCGACCACTGCGCCACGCGCGTCCTTTTCGTTATAGCGAGATAATAGCAAAATTACTTTTGTTGGTCGAGGAAATCTAGTTGTTCTTCAAACAACTGCTTAGCCGTCCCAATGTTTTGCTCGACGGAATCCAAATGCTGATGCTCTTCTATTCGTCGTAAATTTGCGTAAACCTAAACGAGAATCTGTATGACCTTTCTGAAAGCAAACAGAAGAGTCCTAAAGTTCTGAACTAAATTCTTCCTAAACTAAAAGAAAATTCACCGGTATGTAGTACGAAGAAGAATATTAATGAAATGGATCGTTCAAGCGTTTGGTGTAGGCATAAAGTAGGTGTAAATTGAACGGCGAGATGAAGTATACTGTTTTGCTAGCGGATCTTGAGAACCGGGTACAAAAATCACATAGAATGGTGGGGTGAAGCTTGACTAGAAAAGTTGACAGTTTTGGCAGACTTTCACGAAAATACTCACCAAAGGAATATAGAATGTTCAAATACACATCTTTACGTACTGTTAAAGTTTCTTCGACAGAAGTCTTTTAGACCAACATTTCATTTTGCCGATGTCAACTGGCATTGGAGTCTGCCTTAAGAACTACACCGAACCCTCCGCTATATGACTGACTTTTAAACACGAGTAATTCATTGTTTAACAGCTGCTATCTATGAGTTAATGGATAAAGGATAATGCTGTCGGCGTTGATCAGCCTCTGAAATATGCAACGTGCATTCGACTTCAATAAACATCGTTTGAGGTGAACGCATATCTGGCCTAGAATTTTCCAACTGTTCCCAACCGAAGTATTAAGTCCCTGCCGTCATACTCCCAGACAAATCTGGCAGTAATCCGCCGACTCCGAAGGAATGGAATGATTGGTGAGCCAGGGGAGTAGGATCAAATCAATGACCATGTCGTTATTGCAGGGACCTCTACCCATTGCGCTAAACGCGCTCTATTGTCGTTAATGTGCACTGTGTTTAGGCTTTCTTGATTTTCGACATCCTGGTGCATACGGTAAAGTGTCTGGTTTTTGCTCTTCGATTTTTGCCACGTATTCAGCTCCATTTCTTATTTACATATGAGATTTTCTTAGCACTAGCCTCTTGGTAACGTGTCCGATAAAGCTGGTTACTCCATCTGCTAGATTACGTAGTACGTAGGTCTCCCTAACCATACGTTTGCTCAAAGGCAACCGTGGCTAGGAGTCGGTGTCACTTGTGTTCCTCATTATTTTCCCGACGCTTATATAAGCTATTTAAGTCACTTGTTTCAAAGTGTTCTGTTCTGGAGCTACGTCATTGATAATATTATTCCACCAATCGTAAGCGGAATATCAAGAGAATATCCTTTGAACTGAGCATTTTTTTCATTAGCTCAAAAAATTACCACACTTGTTGTCGAAAGTGACCAAGTTCAGTTCCCTTAACTAATGTTGGTCCTATATCACCAGCAAAGTAAAGATGATATAGTTGCAAGCCATCAAATTTCACTAACATACTTTCCCACTCTAATTTCCTTATGTTTTCGAGAGTTATGCAGAATAATTTTCGCGAAATCGTATCGCCTTGTCGTACACCTTTCATATGTTGATATAGATGTTGTAGACTGATGAAATTCCGCCCATGAAGTAACTGCACTAGGAATTTTTCTTACTGGATAGGTCTATGCTTATTTTCCAAAACATTCATGGTTGCTTGTGCCGCAACAATATTTGAGTCTTCAATGAGAATGCGGAACCATGGATACTCTTGACTATCATAATGAGGTCAGAAAGCTTCTTTCTTCTATTCCAGGAATAAATCTTAAACTTAAGGAATCGATAACTAACGCATGATTTGCCCGATTGAACTCTATAAAATGTACTTATTTCTCCTTGTAGGTTGATAGTGGTCATAATCGACAAAGGTTGTCAAATATCGGTCCACACTTTTTCAACCGTAAGCATCTGATCTTAGTCCCCGCCCGCCTACTGAGATCGTTCTCATACTTCATAGTGTATATGATCAAGTTCCTTATGGAGATGCTAAAGTGCTAAAGTGTGGTGTCAGTATAGATTATCACAATGCTCTCTTCAAACCCTAGCGGCCTAAAAGGCTTTGATATTTTCGCGTACTCTTTGGGTTAATCGTCGGGCTCGGTTCGGTAGAGGTTCACTGAGAGTCCAGGAAATGAAGCTGATTCTTTAGAAATATTATTGACGACAGACACACGCGGATAGTTTGTTTACACTTATAAGTATTTTTCCGCGATTTCTTGCAGAAAACAAAGTGAATTTGTTAGAGGGACTTAGATCCTCCTCCTCATGTACTTCCCAGTCTCTTGATAGCACGCTTTCGTCGGATACAATCCGCATCCAACTACGATGACGTACATATGCGTGAATATAACTATGTATTACGGAAGGTGGATTGAATATGTCAATCCAACATATCAGGAACCTAGGGTTAGAGGTCCCTCACATTGGATACATTTGTGAGAACGTAAATAATACCCGTAAAATATTTCCCTATAGATATCTTGTCTTGAAGATGATGTCGTGAACATCACCGCCATTCCAACTAAAGGTGTACGAATTTTCTGAAAGCTCCTGCTATAAAACGAGGAAGGATCATTAGGATGCAAACTTTCTTTTATATTGTAAATACAGCTCAACGTTATTTACGTGACAAATTTAGGTGACTCAGCTAAATTCTGTTGAATAACCGCTGAGCGTTGTCAAGAACTCGAAGACGAACGACGATTACTGGGAATTACATCCTATACCAAGAAATATTTTTGAAAAACCTTTTGACTAGCGTCTTCCAATTCGACGATGTTGAAAACGGTCATCCTGTACTGTTTTAGTTTCTCTTCAATCAATGTTTGAACACAAATCGCTTGCTTTGAGACGTCACTAAGTTGTTCCTGAACATCATAATCGTCTCTCCCGTCACCACAACAGGCAATAACTAATGGTAAATGGTAAAACTACTTGCGCATGAACACTGTCCTGTCGTCTCAGAATGCAAGGACCGAATATTATCGCAAGATTAGAAGGCCCCATTTTGTTCACTGCCTCCTGAAATCATCATCAGAGTTTGGATATCAGACGAAAACGATGACAATGCAGAAAAACTGACAACATTACCGAACCTGGTGAGCCACCCTGGCTAAGTGGAACATTAGCCGATCCAAGAGACCTTTATTCGATTTTGGAAGCAGCTCGATCATCACCGCCAAACATCTGCCTCGTTCCGTAATGTCATCAACTTCTGTCAAAGCACAAATCACAAGTTTAGACTAACTTCAATATCTGAATGCCTCATCTTAAAGAACCATGAAGAATCATGGAGGCTACAGTACAAATCCCACTTGACTGGAAATTTTCAGGCCGGAGAAGATTTTGTTCCCCAGTGATTTGAGATAATGGTAAAAAGGTGTCTTAAATCATACTGCCTAACAGCCAACGGCTATGCTGCTTATAAGGTGGAGAGGTTCTTGGCACTGTTTCACACTTTATAAGGCTTATGGACGGAAATGGCAAACTTCTTCTGGCTTAAGAAAGCATAGTGAGGAGTAAAACTCCGGTACATATTGTGGCTCAATAGCAAAGAGCATCCTCTGTGAAAGATAAGGCGACCGGTCATCAGATGGAGATTTATACATAAAAAACTTTAAAAAAACTAGAGCAATGCTTCCTTAGATAATAAAGGGTTGCCTTATTACGGATTTATAATAAATAAACGGAAAACCGCAAGTGAACAGACGACGGAAATTGGTAACTGTTCGACCATTAGAACATTCGGTATGGTAATACAAGTGCGGAACTATTTGTACTATGGTGAATTTAAGGTCAAGTTTTACAAACTGCTGCTCTTCTAGAGCAATACAAAGGGAATATAAACCAAGCAAAAACTGTATACAGATCGCAAAGAACGATTAGATGGCAAGGCATCGCTATTGCACTTTACAGGGTTCGGGATCAGATCATTATTGACACAACAGCCAAATGGTCAATATCAAGGTTAACATAACAGGATGTTGATCTTGGAAACTATATTACGCATTTTCAGTTATACTAAACATTAAATTTCAAAGTAGATGGGGAGAAACAAGTAAGGTAATGAAGGCAACGCTCACCAGACACATTGAGGAAATTCTCGTAGAGGTCGAACGTGATCAGAGGCTCGGGCATCTCTCTAAGAAACGCCTTCACAATGGTGGTCAGCACGTGGACCTGCACGTCGTCAAGCGAAACAGTGTTGAAATCTTTGGAAAAAAAAGTTCAAACAAAGGAAAGAGAGCTATAAAAACAGAGTACTTAAAACATAGCAAGCTACTTCTTTGTCAAGTGCAACTTGGAACAAATGTTTCCCAACCAGTGATATGGTGATGGCAAACCGAAGAAGTAAAATAATGGTGAAAGGAGATGCTCACCTGGTGCTGATTCGATGACTCGACGCATATATCGAACTTGCGCTAAAGATCCGCTCTTCCTGGAAGATGCTCCTTGTTGTGAGAATCTCGCAAAAAATGAATGCAACATTCCAGTAATGACTACGAGCAACAGCAAAAATGAGTAGGTAACTGATGTGTGTCAAAGCAAGCAAAGGTAGCTTCGTTTTGCCACTTGAGCACACGTTATCTTCTTTATTGGCGTCATAGCTGAGAACAAAATGCTAGTTCTTTGGTACGGACCTATAAATACCTTCGACGAAGAGCGCTCTGGTCTCGAGATTCATGAACAGGCGGTCGATGAGCGGTGGAATGGCATGATCCTCATCGACCAGCGTTGTCAGAATCGCTCCGAAAAACCGTCCACCAGACTGACATTAGTTCTCTTATAAAATGGAAAAGCTATAAATCAAAATGTTTGCAACGAGTCGTGATTACTAAAACTACTACACGAAGCTAGCGAATTAATATATTCAAATCCAGTAATTTGTAGCTTATCTCTTCGTGAAGTGAATACGAAAGCAGGGCTATTCGATACTAAACACCCGATTTCACAGTATGAAGGTTTCATTAGTCCTCTTTTGTGCAGGATAATTTTCGTTCAATACATTACATTGTAGAAGAAACGTTGACGTTGTTGAGGCGGTTGTTCTGCTGATTCGAGTTAACTCAGGATGTTGGAATAAAAATGAAAAAAGCAACCAAGTTTTCTGAACGAACTAAAACCTGTCATAGAGCTAAACCTATCGAGATGGCCCGAAATAAGAAGTTGCGTCTACCCGAAGAATTGTGAACGATCGTAACGCACAGCATTCGCTTCAGAAGTTTCGTAAAATAGGAGCGTTGGATGTTGCGAAAATCGAGACATTGTCCTCGACTCGCAGTCAACGGGAACGACCACTTAATAAGATGAGTTGAAAGAGATCCACTACGAATCGGTTAGAGAGCCAGTCTACGCAAAAACTACGCTTATATAGAACAACGTCTTCGGCAGACCTTAGCTTAGACAAAAGTCAGAGAAAAAACTGAGGGCAGACACAGCATAAAGGGAAGAAGAACAATGAGGTCATTATTTTGAGTTGTAATCCGCAGCGTTTTTTTTTTGAGCAACATAAACGATCGAACACTGAAATGTACGAAAAATTAACACGTAAACGAACGAAGTTGAAGCATTGGAATATTTCCCAGTGCACAACTGGGAATAAGAGGATACGGTAAGTTCCTCTTCGTCGACAGTTGGAATCATCCACTGCAACTTCATGAATCAAAGTATTATCAAGAAATATCCAAAATGGATCAAAAACTACAATGTATAAGACTAACTCTATCAAAGGAAGAGACAGGATTTTTGTTAATAATGCTGTAAAGCGGAAAGGAGGAAGACAGCGCAGTGGTTGGTGATGTAGTTCATCAGGAAGGAAGGCCCCCCCCCAACACACTCCTCCAATCCAATCCACGTGAGAACGCCATAGCTCGGTTGTCTTCAAGATTGCAAAGAGAATCGATTAAACGAGCACTCCACGACGTTCATAAAGCAAAATGTTCGAACATCACTGTTGTGGACGATGAATACGAGGAAAAACGAGTTGGATGAAAAATTTGCTAGGATCAGCGCAACAGATGTGATGGCGGGTCATGTAAAATAAAACGAAAGAAAGTGGTGTAGAAGAAAAGAAGTACAAGAACGGCTTTTCAAGACTTCTGTATCGAATATTTCAAAACCAGATGTTTCGTTTTGAATAGTAAATTCTTGAAAGTAACAAAATGATGTTAAAAAAATATCGTGTTCATAAAGGAAACAAATAAGAGCCTAAAGTACTAGTTTATTTCTATAAACGCGCAGTTTCCTTCATATGAAACCATTATCATTTTTATTGCCCGAGACAGCGTGTTCGTGTAACCAGTTAATGCTGGTGCTACTTAAAAGACACGGAAACTATGATATCTAGTGGCGTCAGCTTATACACTGTCTGCGAAATCTGAAATTTCTGAAGTGTCGTGAATGGAAACGATCGCTCACCACGGCGTTCATGCTCATCTTGCAAATCTGGGTGATCTTCGTGTGGCACTTCTTGTGGCACGAGATGCGACAAGCAGCGCAGATGAAGATCTTCTCGGCGTGCCTCATGAACTGGTTGCACACCTCACAGTAAGTCGGCACGTGCACTAAATCGGCCCGGAAGCAGTGGCCCGCGTACAGCTGAAACGAGCGCTGAGGTACCGACAGCACACGATAGAAGAAAACGCTCCTGAATCTCTTCGGCACACAAGAGCCCGAAAAAGAATGACACTCCAGAAAGGTTGCGCAAATCTCTTCTCATTCCATACGTTCTATCAGTTAAAAACACTGGAGCAACCAGCCGAATCAACTCAGAGATCTATGTAGAACGCTTTTGGCTTCACCATACGAAGAGTCTCAAAACTTATACATTCTTTTTACCCAGTTTAAATGTTTACCCTCAAGAATGTAAATGGGTGGACCGTAGCTAGTTGGAAACTGAATTTATTACTTGAAAACGGCTCAAAGAAGCACTCTTCTTCATATCGCTAGTGCTTCTTCAATAGAACCAATTTGTCCTTGCCCCTAGGAGGTCTAAGTGGATACCTAAATCACACACATTTTTTTCAGCGACACTAGCGTCACACGCTTTTCGACTGCTGGGACGTTCACGGCCACGTTGTCTGAGGAAGGCTACGGAGCTGGAACCGACACGCAGTGCGGAATGGTCAGCGATATCAGGACGGTTTACGAATTTCGTGATCAATGAGCAAGGAGGAATTTGGCTGCTTACTGACAGCAGTGAAATAGGAGGAAAACTCCGTGATACCTCTTCTTTCTCGTGACGCACAATACCAAGTGTCTGTAAAAAATGGTGGAAAGTGTTTCTTCTTTCGTTATCGCAACACTACAGGCCGCCTTCTAAACTGCGACACTGGTTCACGACATAAGTCTAAAACTTTTCTGAGATAATCAATTTGATTTTAGACTGCTCAACTTTCACGAGATTGGTATAATTACTTTCATGATTCAGTCCCTTCGGCTTCTTCAGAAACACGATAATTCGAGTCGATTGCCCACTGTCATTCACTTTTCTGGTGTGAGTTTTCGTACCGTGAGTAGTAATGAGTCGAATCCAGTGGGATGGAGCACCAGTCAAATGAAATCACTATTGGGCTCACTGCCGTGAGCTTAAGACGTGAGAGGAAAAAATTTCATGACAATATCGTGCTAATCCATCAAATGAATAAGATAACAGCCACCCCAATGAAAGTTTTTCAAGATATTTTAGGTCCGAGCTGAGCTGTCAGGCGTCTTCCTATCTCTCTCAATATCCACTGACGCTTGACTGCATAACTTTGAGCACTGTATTTTCAAAAACGGCCTTTCTGCTTAATACGAACTGTAAACTAATAAAACTGCAGCGTTCTCCATAGGTTACGTAATTAGTGAAAGATAATGCAAGGGTAGAGAGGGAAGTTGTTTGTTTATACATGCTGTTAGCGGAGTTCGTCTGTGTTAAATTTGCGAAATGTCTCACCACAGTCACATCTGAACGCCGACGTTTCTTACGAACGCTCTAGAAATTAATAATCCTCTGTGCTCGAAAAGAAGCGGACAGTACTGAAGACAAAATGACTTAGCCTCTAGAAAAGCGGCCATACCTTCATGATACCAGACTTTTGCTTTGAACCGCGTTTTTTCTGATTTTGCATGAACTCGTTCAGGAAGCCTCTAAAGGATGTACTGTCAGAGTAAAACTAACCAGTTGACAGAAATCGTACCTGAAGGCATTCACTCCTAGAGTCGTCGGAAACGATACTGCCTCTTCTTTGCAAACTTTTGTCAGCACTCCTTCGAAGGTGGTGATCAAATCATGATATTTAAGCACAGCTCTTTCTTCCTATGGAAAAAAATGGCATCAAAAAATAGAACAGAACATTTTCTCATTTTTCGAATCGACAACATGAATTCTCTAAATGAATTACTGCTTCTTCAAGAATAGAGGTGCCCACAAATGTCGAAGCGCGATGTCAGTGTTGAGATAGTCCCAGCAGGTTCTCGTAAACTGGGAAGGAACTTGACATTTCCATCCAGTTAGTTGCTAATACAAGATTTGACCACTGCCAGAATTGTTCCTATCTTTTCAAAAACATAGTCCCTAGCTACCAAATGGTAGCGATCCGTTAAAACCCTGGCACAGGTTTCTAGTTTCAAAAAAAGGAATACCATATTGTCCACCCAAAAAATTACTAGTCAAATGGAAAATGGTTTACGGTGAACACAATTCCTCGTCTTTCAAGACGACGAGCAATTCACGTACTCAAACAAATATAGAATTTTACCTTGTCAATCTAGTCTTCCATTCTCTGCAACTTAATCACCGCCTTCTTTCGTCACGCGTGTGGTAGTAACAGTGGTTTTCGCGATAGGTGCACTTTGATAAACACTACATGGTACCCAAACAGTTTAGCTGCATTTCTTTTGGATTTAAATGGTTCCTGAATACACTACCAAGCAAAACTCTCAACGGCTCACCACCTCATCGTGGATGGGAGCTGTTCCTTGGTGTCGGGCCCTCGGTACGGTCTCGCAAGTGTAGGAGAAGTCCGACACTCAGGAAGGCCATCAGGAAGCCCAGAAATAGTAAACCAATACCAGGATCCATTACCGTCCTTGTATCAAACTAATCGCATGGTGGCAAATTTTCCTCTAATCGATAAGGGACTCTGTGGTGGTGACAACCTGGAGCAGACATTGGCCTAGCCGATCTCGGGACTCCAGGGAATTACAGTAGCTAAACTAGCAAAATTCCGAAAAATGGAAACTATGCTGGATCCCGCACAACTGGTGAAGATGGGCCAACCATGTACCCAAGTAAGTAAGTAATACAAAGCAAAACAAACTAATTACTCAAGCTGAGAATCACAGACTTAGGTGCTAGAATGTTGCTCGGACGCTTACTCAACATTGCAGACGAATTGACTTCTATTTAATTAATCAAGAGAAACTTGTCCGAAATCGTTGTTGTGGAATCGCTTTTTGAATCAAAAAATTTCGGATACAAAAATTTCTAGATGTTTTACCTTTTTATTTTCTGCCTACTATAATTTCGCGGCAGGGTACTAAGCGAAATACAACCACAACGTTGCTGAGATATTTGCAAAACTCTGGACCGCAGGTGTCTATGGTGAGGAACGAACGCGCTATTGTCCTTTCCGGGGAGTAACGCGTTCACCACCACACCATGCGGGTCCTTTGTTTCGCCTGTCTCTCAGCTACTGATCTGGGGTGCCCAAATCGGCATAGAACCCAGTTAAGCTGCGGCTGTAGTTGAAATCACAATGTTATACCTTTTTATTTTCTGCCTACTATAATTTTGCGGCAGGGGGGGGGNACTGATCTGGGGTGCCCAAATCGGCATAGAACCCAGTTAAGCTGCGGCTGTAGTTGAAATCACAATGTTATACCTTTTTATTTTCTGCCTACTATAATTTTGCGGCAGGGTACTAAGCGAAATACAACCACAACGATAGAAATAGCTGGGAGACAGGCGAAACAAAGGACCCGCATGGTGTGGTGGTGAACGCGTTACTCCCCGGAAAGGACAATAGCGCGTTCGTTCCCCACCATAGACACCTGCAGTCCAGAGTTTCGCAAATATCTCAGCAACGTTGTGGTTGTGTTTCGCTTAGTACCCTGCCGCGAAATTATTGTAGGCAGAAAATAAAAAGGTATAACATTGTGATTTCAACTACAGCCGCAGCTTAACTGGGTTCTATGTCGATTTGGGCGCCCCAGATCAATCCCGCTGACAAAAATTTCTATTGATTCTTTGGCGCTCAGCCTAATCAGCTCAGTTTTAATGTCAAAGAAATTTCGTTCATAGTAATTTTCGCGGAATATATGTACTGCAGAATAAATTATCATACCGTACAATTTCTAACGAAAACTAAAATGTGTAATGTGCAAAAGAGTTAGACTTCCCAAATGTCAAACGCACTATACGGTGTCCACCGAACCGATGGTCTGAGTTGTTCATGAAGACCTTTCAATAAAGATATGACGTTCAACGAGTCCCTGTAGCGAGAAAAACCCACTGGACTACTCTAGTACGCGATAGGAAGAAATGGAAGATCTATTGGCGCGCGCTCAAATCACTCGACGATCAACGGGACTACAGGTGATACAAACGATGCAAAATGAACACTTGGAAATGAAACCACTCTTGTTTATATTACAAAAACGACAAAGTCGACAGATCTAGAAAGCTGTAGAAATGCTAATAAATGCTATTTTGATTCATTAAGATCTGTTATCGGTTTTTTTTCCGTTTATATCTACTCTCTTCTTTCGTTTTCAAGCCCTTGAACTTGAGAATAACAAACACGATCGACATTTAGCATTTCCTCCTACGAGTTCGTATCATGCCGAACTACATTGCGAACGATGAGGAACATCAATGAGTATGAGATGACTTACAGACAGCACAGCCTCGTAGCCAATTAACTCCATGTGGAACTCTCTAAGTGACCTTTTGAACAATGCGTCGACAACGGTGTCTCGTTTATTCCTTTTCTGGTCGAGATTAGACTGCTTTTTGAATATGAACACGCTAAACTGGCGCAGATCTTCTGTCGACTCGACGATCATGTTACCGGGATCAGTCTAAAACGGCCGAACTAGTTCCGCCCAATATGTTAATCTACACCTGTCTGTGAACACAATCACCTGTTGTTTTGTTTTGTTCAAGTTGAACGTTCGCGAATAGATCGAGCGACTTGGTACTGGAGATGATGTGATATTAGGTTTGCTGCTTAAAACAGATGCTTTATATGTTTGAAGTGCACTAACATTTGGACAACCAGTTCTGCTCCTAATTAGTTTTTTTAGTAGCATCCAACCAAAAATCAGTTGAAAAGCAACACTTTTCAAATTTTTTATTTACTTTGAACAGCTTATCAAGTAGTTATGAGCCTTATATGGGTCATTCAAGTAAGGAATCTATGAAGCTTCACGCACTGATAGCTATTATACATATGTATATATATATATATATATATATATATATATCGAACAGCCAACTTTAACTATATCAGAAAGCTAACTTTTCAAACTCTTAGCAGAAGCTGCCCAGATAAGTGGATCAGAATTCAATTCGCATCTCTTAGGATACAAATACCAACCTCTGAGTGGTGGGTTGTTTTTTAGTGACAGCAGTAAAATCACGGGGTTGTGCAAGTAGTAATGGACGTCTACCAATTGATTTGGTTCTATAAATTCCAAGAAGACGGAAAAAATTAGCACTCCCAAAATTCTACAAAAGTACTTGTCGATACTAGCGAAACGTTAAGATTTAACAGGTGGTGACTACCGAGTCACGGGTCTCCTCCACAGAGGGATCTTATGCCGGTTCGTCGCGATGTAACGTAGGGCGTACCCAGTTGGTGGCTCAGGGGTTATTTGTGGACGAGAAGCGACCTTATGTTCCTCTGAAATGCAGTTGGATCTACCAGATGGACTCCTTATTCTACTGTGCCGATTTGGCACGTGGTTTCTGTGTTTAAGTGGACGTACTCACGTATTTGTGCTTTGGTGGGTTTTTAGTTACGCGGATTGTCCTACACAAGTCAATTAGACCAAAAGTCTACAATAAAGCGATTGAGAAGTAAATAGGAGGTAGTCAGGAGTCGCCTCGAACAAACAGGCCTCTCGTCTATTTAGGCAGAAGGATTGGACCTGTGAGTATAATCAGCACTCGCGTTCAGAGCTCAGCAAGCCATAGATGAGTATCAAACGTCGAACGCGGTAAAATGAGTGGGCTCCATTCTCATGACACCGAAGGACCCTTCAAAATGACAGTGCTGGATAGGACGAGTACGGAGAAGCAGCTAAAATCTCAGGATTATTCTAGGGTGTGTAAATCTAGAATGACAAGGATAATGATCTATAACTATCATGTACGCCCACTTGAACCTGAGTCTTTGTTCTAAAGACAACTTGATCATACAGGCAAGAAAGATTAAGTACGACGTCATCGGACTAGCAGAGACGGGAAAATGGCTCCCATTCAACGCCATCTACGATATTTGAGAACTGTGCCTCGGAATAGGTGATAACATAGGAGTCGGCAGTGCTAGCTCAGTAATTTTAGAAAATATGCCTGAGTTTATCAATGACAACGAAGACCATTTACGGTAATCCGCAGTTCTAGAAGCCCTACTCTCAATGCTGGACATGGGAGTCACCTAATGGAGAGTATCATAACGAAAAAGATCAGACCATAGTAAATTGAGGGTTTTGCCTAAGCTATGTCGCTATTGTCCCAAAATTCTACAAGGTATCAGACCATCTCCTCCTTCGTGCAAGATGCCACTTCTCATGGAACGGAAAAAAGCCACTAAATTCAAAAGCGAAGCACCGAAACAAATAAACTGAGGTTTACTCAGCTCATCAGTCCGCTGCGAGGAAGGTGTCGTTATTGACTATATTGACAAGAAGTACGACCGGATCATTCAGCATCCTTACGTTAGCGTTATGAAAGCTGAAAGCTCTAAGGTTACCAATAGACATCTGTTTCCAGAAACACTCTAACTGATACGCCATCGTGGTATCGGACAAGCAAAGACAACCATCCGCTCACGTCCGAATTTGCAGAACAAGTAAACAGGCTATGAAGGGAGATCCTCAAGAGAGAAGAGCAGCAGTTACGATCGAAGTTGCAACGGATGAGAAAAGCTTTCGCAAAGCCCACCGAATCTCTACCAGTTACAAAGCCAAGACGATTTTACTCCAACGCCCAGACGGAAGAACTAAGCTTCCAGAAAGATAATAGTGAAAATCGTTTGCGATTACTATTCGGATCTCTTCAGTAGCTATGCTCCCTCCTCATCTCACATGAAATAAAGGAGCATGTATATAATGCCCTATCGCTTCCCCCTTCCGAAATCCGTCATGCTATTTCGTTGATGAAGAATTGAACAACACTAGCTACGGAGAGAATAAGACCTAAATACGTGAAGAATTCGTCGTTTTCTCTCTCAGAAATCGCGAGGTTGTTAAACAGCATACGTTTACTTCCATACAATAACACACATACAACACAATCGTAGTTGACGTTTCGGCAGAATCGCCTTCTTCATTCCTGAACATATACTGAAATTGGAACAATAGGTTTATTCCCGAACACATACTAAGATTGGAACAATACGTGAAGAATCTTCCTCCAGCACTGTTTCTTACACACTAGCATCTCGCCAAAGTTATCTACCGCCACCCTCGAGAACGTCATGCGAACATTGGAATGGGATAATATGGGAATGGAAATCGATGGTCGGCAACTACACCACCTTCGCTTTGGTGATGACGTCGTTCTTAAAATGTTAAGCATTAGAGAAACGAAATGAACGCCTGCCGACTTTGATAGTGCTTGTAGAAAGGCTGAACTTCGAATAAACCTCACAAAAACGATGTTCATGAGGAACGCATTGGTTTCGTATGTCTCATTCAGTCTACATGAATATCTTCGAATGCTGCAGTTGCGTCTATCTAGGTCGGGAAATCAGTATGATGAATGTGAATCAACTTAGCTCCAGAGTTGAGCAAGAGGATGCGAGCGGCTTAGGGAGCTTTCAAGAGCATCGAGGATATAGTGAAGAGAACAGCGAACAACCGACTCTGTACCCACCTTTTCGTCTCCATGATCATTCCTGCTTTAACATATGCAAGAGAAACCTGGTCGCTACGTAAAGACGACAAAATACTACTCAGCGTTGTAGAACACGCAGTCGGAAGGACGATGCTAGGAGTATCTCGTATCATGCAGGTGAGAGAGGTGATCTGAAGCTCCGACTGCGTCAACGATCAAAAATCAAAGAAGCCATTCTACACGCCAAACTGTCCAGTACAAGGTAGGCTGGAGGTAAACGACAATCGATGGACAGGTGCTGTTAGCGACTGGATTCCTCCAGATCTCAAACGCACACCAGGAAGACCACCGACTCGATGACGAGAGTTCATCACGAAAAGCCTAGAAGAAAGACAGGATGCTCGATAAGTCCCTAGAGCGAGCAGAACCCACTGGGACAACCTTGCACGCGACAGGTAGAAATGGAAGGCTCACTGGCGCTTCCTCGAGTTATCCGACTATCAACACGATAACAGGTGATACAGGTTATTTCCTGATGCCGCCTGTGGTCTGTTCGAATTACGGAAGTTGGATTGGACCTTGGTTTGCTATAGACTTTGTCGTTAAGATTCCGCAAAACGTTGATATGAGCGAAATCGAACGCTCTCTGCAGGTCGTGTCAGCGGCTGTTCGGACGCAATTCGAAGTCTCCTGCACATGGTTTCGTCGTCAAATTAGATATGAAGGAAGCTTAGATACGAATGATTTCTTTTGAAGCGGTTGAGTTAGAAGCAGTTAGAAGTTATTTCTCTAGTAACCAGGTGAAAACGTGGGTTGATAATCTAGGCGGTTTTCAGCAGAATGGTACGAATCAAGCTGTTGTAGAGGATAAAGCAATAAAATTTGTAGATAATCTATCTCAATCAGATTGTTTTACTTTCACTGCACCGGTGCTCCTTCATGTCTCTGCACTAGGCTTTTCTAGAGTACACTTCTAGACCACATTTTAACAAAACACAAACTGGTATGAACTTTAAACAAGGAGTTCTGAAAGAAATTGGCAATGTATTATGCTTATGATTATATGAAATAACCAGAGAACTGACTAGTCTCACATTATATGTTTCTTCCGTTAGCCCTCTTCATTCATCTTATTTTTAAATTTGTATTTAGAGCCATCTAGCCTAGACCAACGTACACGATATCCCATGGCCTTCCCGGCGAGCCGAATCTGGTCGGAGACCTCATCGGCGACGATGGCTGGCATTGTAGGGAATTTGCGAACGACGAACACTCCTTATGAAAGCACAACTTGCACTCTGAAGCATTTGATTTTCTAACCTAACCTGATGTGGTTCTCTGTAGTACAAATCCGAATATCCAAACTTGGCTTTGTGGAGTACAAAGTACTATGATACTCACGAGCACACTTGTACGTCTGCGAGATGAAGCCGGTCAGATGGCGATTGCACACTGCACACGTGTCCAACCGATGCAGTCGTGAAATCTTCAGATGATGTTCGTAGGTCGCCGTCGATGGTAGACTCAGCTCGTTACTTAAAATCTGTTCATTAATTTTTTAATGGACTTCTATTAAAGGGCAAGAAATAAAACTCTCGGCGTTGATCAATCGCTGAGGGATGCGCCATGCATTAGACTTCATTTAGCATGGTTGAAGGCTACTGATTGCATATCTGGTCCTTACAGTAACTCGCGGTGGCGTGCCGATGCCTACCAAGCCAGTGTAGCTATCCTCGCAGACAAGTCTGGTACCATTTGCCGACCCCGGAGGGATGTTAAGTTAAAAAATTCGTCACTCCTAGTACGGTGATAGTAAAATAGAAAACATGGTTACCTAAAGACAGATGAACTGATGTCAAATGAAACAAGATGTTTCTCTTCAATAAGCAGACACAAGGTTGTTGTTATATCAACTATTCCCAAAATAGTTTCTATTTCTTCCTATATATATTTGTGTCTTCCTACTACTGGATATTTCAGTAGGAAGGATCATATCCACTGTTTGTTAAGTTGCCTAGCAAATGTCGTAATACGTAAATATTTCGATCCCATCCTTAGGAACTTCAATCGCTGTAAACAGTCTTGTTATGCAAACCTATTTTTGCAATCTGAACCCATTGTTTGTTATTACTGTTCAAAAGTCATCATGCGTACAATAACAATAAGGGCATGAGGATGTTTGCGAGAGCAGTCTTCCGCCAGATGATGTGTGGTTTTGAGACGATATGGAGACGGTAGCCGACGAATGTTTTCGGTAAAGATGCCGGACCTGTGCCAAACACCGCCTTCTCCAGAAGCATATAAATAGCCTCGTTAATTGCTATCGGGGTTTGCCCTTGTCCAGGTTCGTCGACTATTCAGATCCGCCCCTGTGAAGGTTCGTCGGCTTTTTAGATCCGTACCGTATTGATCTCGTGTGTCACCAATGTAGGTTATCGTAGCTGTTAAGTCATACAGCACATAGTCATTATTTTACATTAAATTTATCATATCATTATTAAATGATAGTTGCGAAATGTACATTGGTTTAACATCACCGTCATTACGTCACGCTTTCCATCAGCCCAGTGTATCCTCATCATCATCATCGTGATCCTCATCCTCTTGCCAAAGTTCATTGTTTATCAATTGGTCTGCGGTGTGTTGTCAGTAGCGGCGGCTATCCTCAAATGCGTTCTGCCTGAAACGCCATCGGTGGCATGTACCATTCCTCCCACACGGTACGCCATGCGTACAAGGCCGCTAGCCGGCCAACTTATGCTGTGTATTTGTTAAGTAGCTATAGGCTTATCATTTCTCGGTCGTTATCTTTCTGGTCTATAATCTCTTAGGCAATGGTGGCACCCATCGGTGCTCAAACTTCACGTTGCAGACATATCGTTATCCAAGAGCAGCCGCTTGACCGTGTTCCGCACATGTCTCATCTCGTTCGTAGTCACTTCCACCATCGATGCTTAGGTAACTTGCTATCCTCATCGATTAATGTGCAAGTGCACCCAGCTGCTCTACATACGATCTCTAGCTTAGCCTAATGCAGGGCTCGTCTGCATCTCACTCTTTTGTTGTTCTAGCCCTCGGCATCTGGGCCACTGTACGCGCCAGTGTGGGCCCCATCGTTCGTATCTCCTTACTTGTCATTGTTATCAAGTTGCTGTTATCATAGTACTAATGTTATAATAGTATTATTGCATTACCGTTATGTCTTTGTAAGCCTCACTTCAGTAGTAGGTACAGCACCTCTTAGCCTTGAACTTGCCTTATTTGTGTGTCAGTAGTTCTCCGTCGATACTAGTGTTTTATTGATGTTGCATTTATGCATTTAAACGGCTTAATTGCCCAAGTTTGAGGTGTTACCCTGTAACAACTACGAAAAGTCCTGCGTGGCATTTTTCTCACGAAGTCGAGCATTCTGCTAAAAGCTAGTGATTATTCAGTGCCGAAAACTGACTCGAAGGCCTATTTTCGACTAGCAACTGCATTAGTTATTATAGAATTTACCAGGATACAATAGCTCACGTTTCAGTGGTTTCGCCTTCTTCAGAGCCTGGAAAGGTCAAATTGAGATGCGATCTACTCAGCTGAAACACTTTCATAACCCTAGCAGATAAAACTTAACAAATAAATTTCTATTCGCATAAGAAACAGCTTCATTTAAACACCTGCCGTTTATTTGTGGTAAATATTTAGGTTAGTTGATGAATAGCAGCCGCACAGGGTAATACATGGGCGATAACTGTGTCTGTGTTAGGTCACTGGATTAGCCTGAGGTATGGCGCCAGGTCATGCTTGATGACAAGACACTCCTCCTTGCGGTTCATTTTCGAATTTTTGGAATTGATCCAAAACGTTTCAAGAGTTTTGCGCGCTGATGTTTTCGATTCGTGAGTCTGTTCGTTCAATAACTCAAAGCATTTGTCCATCTCCTCTTGTGTGGAGCAGATGACAGAACAATAATCTATATACCAACAGTAGAGTAATGGCCTGAGATCGATTACTGGTGCTTCCACTTTAGACATAAAGGCAACGGCAAGGGTTGGTGCAAGTCGCTGTCCCATTGCCAACCCTCAAATTTGCGCGTAATATTTCCCGAACCATCTGAAGACGAGCAGTTTAAACAGACCTTTAGGAGGAACATAAGCTGCTGAATCGAAAAGCCATACATGTTAATTGCTCTTTCGTGTTGCTCAAGAAGCTCGCAGATGGCTTGCATTGCAGAGTCCTTCGACACGTTAGCGTAAAGAGCCGTAACGCCGAACGACTCCACAACGTACGCGCTTTTGGGACGTGCGTTGCGCAGACGGTCTATGAACATTTGGGTGTTCCTGAGATGGGTTGGCGTGCTTAAGCAACTGGTTGAGGATTAGATTTATAAACCAACCAATTCTATCCGTAGGCCCGTCTACACAACTGATAATGGGTCTACCTTTAAAGCTGGACGGGTCGGTAGACGCCAGATCATCAGCGGATATTAACTTATGGCTCTTGATAAGTAAGTATAAGACGAGACATGTCGACACTTCGATCTTAAGATGCGAAATGTTTGCCGGTTTTAAGCCAGCTGCGCTTGCCATTTTGATCCATTCGTTGTTCAGTTTTCGATTTTGACTTCTGAGTTCCTTTACAGTAGATGAGCGATAAAGAGATGCGTCTTCAAGATATTTTTCCGTTATATCAACATCTAACAGGCGAGGAATTACTACAAACTCCCACCCTTATCACTAACTGATTGCCTAATAGTCTTTGATTTTATTAGCTCTCGAACTTACCGCATACCAGATGGAAAACGGCTACAACACAAAATGGTATCGAAAGCCAAGCAGTAAGAATATAGTGGTTCATTACCTCTCCTCTCATCCCTCACACACTAAAAGGGCGCTTATGAGAAATATGTTTCGAGCCGCTGCCAGCGTGTGCACAGGTAGAGATCAGAGGGAAGAATCCTCGAAACTGGAGCGCCAAATAGCCATTTCAAATGGTTACGAAACCGTAGATTCTTGGCATAGGCATAGAGGAAAACCCACGCCCCAGAGCGATAATTCTGGCGAGAACAAAGCTCCGCTCCTCTTGCCTTTTATTTCAAACGAAATAAGTGCAGCTATAAAACGTTGCTTAATAAGGGCCGGTCTAGAGAATCCCGTAAGAGTGATAGAAATACCATCCAACAGTCTAAGACGCCAGCTAGTTTGCAACCGCCTATATGACCGTCCATGTATAACGAAGAACTGCATAATTTGCCCTAATGGTAGAGGCGGTGATTGCATGAGTTCGGATACAGTCTATCTGATCTCTTGTAAAGCGTGCGGGCACGAATATGTTGGCGAAACGGGTAGACCGCTCTGCGTCTGCATAAAAGAACACCTAATCGGTAAATCTAAATTAAAACCAAACACTCCACTAGGCGCACATAGGATGCAGGAACACAACGGAGAGCATTTCGAAGTAGTAGTCACTATCCTCACGCACGAATCAAAAATATCAGCGCGTAAAACTCTTGAAGCGTTTTGGATCAATTCCAAAAATTCGAAAATGAACCGCAAGGAGGAGTGTCTTATCATCACGCGTGACCTGACGCTATACCTCAGGCTGATCCAATGACCTGACACAAACAGAGTAATCGCTCAAGTTAATACATGTGTGGCTGCTATCCATCAACTAACTTAAATACTTACAACAAATAAACGATAGGTGTTTAAATGGAGCTGTTTCTTATGCCAATACAAATTTATTTGTTAAGTTTTACTGCTGGGGTTATTAAAGTGTTTGGTTCGGTAGATCGCATCTCAATTTGACCTTTCCAGACTCGGTGTTGTTATCAGCTAGCACAAGGCGTAGTAAAATTTCATGGACCATCGACTCGGATCGACGGCTTTGAGGAAGACGAAAACATCGAAACGTTAGCCGAAAATAAACATCATTATTAACGTCGTGTAAGCTCATCAAAGAAAGAATACATATTTTCTCGAAATATGTTTCGCAAGACAGATGAAATTTGACAAAAATTTACAATTTACGGTTGTAATTCCACTATACAGATCGAAAAAGCCTGAAATAGGCTTTTCATTATGTCTACTTTTTACTTGCTGTCTACTGCAATTTTTCACGGCGGGTTATTATGCAAGATACAACCACAAGATGCTGGGATATCTGTAAAACTCCGAACCGCAGATGTTTGCGGTGGAGAACGAACGCGCTATTATCCTTTCAGGGGAGCTAACGTGTTCGCCGCCACACCATGCGGGTCCTTCGTTTCGCCTGTCTCTCAGCTATTTTTTCATTTTCATATAACACTCGACCACTTACTTGAAAGAAAATTGTTGCCAAAACATCTGCAAGAAAAAAATCGATTACAAATCCTGAATTTACCTCCAAACGTCCTAATCGATACGGTGCACCGTTTGAACTGATATACTTGTTGTATTTTCCATTTAAAAATATGAAAAGACTTGCAGCTCATATGAGAAAAGCGGAAAATGAGCAGATCCGTACTGAGTCGAAAAGTGGCAAAACTATGGCTATGAAAAATTTCCAGACAAGTTTAATCAAGCAAAAATCGAACATTCGGGCAAATGTCACTTGTAACAAACACTGCCTCACCTGGACGGTGTCTCAACGTCTTCAGCATCTTCGTCGTTAGTACTGTCACTTCGTCTCCCAAACAACGCTTTCAGATTCTTTTTTGCTTTGGTAAACCCCAATCGGCTAAGTGACTTCTTTTTGGCCACTAGGCTTTCAAGCTGAAAGTAAAAACGAGATGAAGAGTTCCAAAATGTGTGGTTTTCACAAATACTCTCTCTGTGCCTTACCAGGAGTGGTTTGAATTCGTCTTCTGAACGCAGCAGTGTGTTGCTCTCCGTACTGTTTGCTCTTCGAAGCGTTCTCAACTTGTTGGTCGACGCTGTTGGAACTAACGACTGACGACGATGACAGTTGATTTCTGGAGTCTCTCTAGAATAACAGATTCTACGAACATGGCATCACTTCATTTCAATGACGTGACTAACCACTGATATAATAACCACTCCTGTTTTGAAAATATGTGGCTACTATTAGATTTTACAAAATATAAGAGCAACGTAGGATAAACTGTTCTGTAGATATAACATTTGCGACCATCTGGACCTATAGTTATTTAAATTTAGTTTTCTTTGATTACATTCCTCTCAAGCCCTCAACAGACCACCACAGAGGATCGGGAAGCAAAAATTCTCTCGATGCTAGAAGCACTGATGCTGAGCCTAACGTCTAGATATCCAGCTAACATTTTTACACCTTCTGCCCATTACCCAGCGACCTTTCACATATTTGCCGCAGTATGCCTAGCATATAGCATATAGCTGTATAACAAGGAATTCGCACGATTTCCTTCTACAGCTTCAACAAGGTACATTGTGTCACTATAATGACTCTCACAGAATATTACAATAAAACTCATGACAAACGTTTGTCTTACTCAATAAGTTTCAACTTTGTGTCCTCGAGTATGAATGCAGCATCGAGCTCGATGGATTTTTCATTTCTGAAAGGAAGAAAAATGAGAAACCACAGAGCTGTGATGAGCATAAATCGCGAACACGTCGCCAAGAATGCTTGAATCCGACACGTCTTCGTCCAGGGTTGCTTGCGTCGACTCGCCGTCGCTGAACAAAACAGTTGGTACGATATTATCAAAGTTGTTCTCAAGTGGGAATGTAAGGGTGATACACATGACTGTACTTAATTTCGGTTTGTTTATCCACCAGCTTTTGATTTACCAATACCGTGAAGAGATTTACGGACTTCAGCCTGAATAATACCTTGCAACAGCCAATTATGTGTTTCACCACTGAAGATAAAAAGACAAAGCTTTCGGCGTTGATCGATCCCTGAGGGGTATTCGACGCTTTCGACTTTACCATGAATCATTAGAAGGGATCGAATACATAACTATACAATGACTTACGGTGGCCAGCCGATGGACCAATTCCATGATGCTATCCTGCCGGACAAGCCTGGCACCTATTTTTTGATCTCAGGAGTACGGAAGGCTTTGTAAGCTTGTGGGGCCGGATGAAACCAACGACCGTGTGTACAATGCAGCGCACCTCTAACCAAAAATGCAGATATGTCTGCTACATTTTTTCACTAACTTCACATTCACATCGTTTTTTTCGTGCATATCTCACTACATGGTAGGTTCATACGTGCGCATCGGGTGGTGTGGTATCTAGCTAGCACAGAACAAGATTGCCTACCTGTCAAGGTCGTCGTCGCTGTAGGCGAATGCTGCCAGTGTCTCAGGATCGTTTAAGTCGAAGACGGGCAATTTGAAAGCTTGAAGTCGCTTCACTCTAATCCTTCCTGTGTTTCGAGATCTTGGAATTTCTCCTAACCTAAACATAAGCATTCTTTTCGGGCCTAAAAGGAACTTGCACGAAAAACAGTTTAGATAAGCAATGCAAAAGTTTTGGCACCTTTAACGTATAAAACAAGTAAAAGTGGGCAATAAGCAAAATTTTCTGTTATCTCCTGGATGGGTCATCGGAAGTGTGAATAACGTGGAAATGTGGAACCTTTTTCGAGCCTGATTTCCTCGATATGCGGCTTGAACAGCAATTACAGCTTCCCGAAGTAACCGATAGCGACGTTCCTCACGATTTCTGAGTATTTCCTGATTTACAAAAACTGCCACTTGTTTTTCAAACCAACTAAAGAAAGCGTATGCAAAACTTAGCCCTATTGAGAACAACCTTCAAACCATATTAACGCTCACCGTCTATAGTTACTTTGAATTACAAGTGCTGCGTAAGCCTGTTTTCGTATCCGCGACCTTACAAGGACTCCCCTTACCAATGCCTAAATGGTCACGGAAGACTAATAAAGCACATTTTCATTCACTTTTCACTCTTTTTCATTCTTCAATTTCTGTGAAGAGCTATGATAAGCTGAGAAGCACCTGTATCTTGACAATGCCTTGCTTGAATCGCAGATAGCGCTTCCGAGCGATGATCATACGGAACCAACGTTGCAACGTGTCTGTAGAACTAGGAGGCGTCAACAATCGGTCTTTCATTGAAAGCACCAATACTTGAAGCTAATTGGCAACGAATTGGGAAAAAATGGAATACGTTATGAAGGTTTCCACGTTTCCGGAAAAAACATCTAATAAAAGTTTAATGCCTCTCTTCCCTCTCTAAACGTTCAAATTCAAAGAAAAAAACCAAATACATCAGTACAACAACAATTTTCTGCTTCATTAATACAAAATCAATTTCTATTCTATCGATGTCATTAACAAAAGCCGCAATTCATTCCGCAATGAATTCGTTTTGTTTTAGTGTAATTTCAATTTTTTAACGTAAAATGTTAAAATATGGTTACATCAATGGCGATTTTTCGTCTTCACCCAAATGATTTTCTACGAATTCTGAACCGGGTTTCTATTTAGCACGATGTCTTTGATGAGATAGGGAAGTCTCGGTGGGTGTTGAAACGTTGGCGACTCAGAACTTATCGTCGGCTTGTAACGACCTGCATCTCTTTATCCACATCAAAAGTGCACGGGTACCCTCAGATTACCTTTGGCAACAATAACGATTGGACATCACTCAACCCCCAATGTTCACCAGTCCCTCTTCCCGACTTACCTATATGTTGCATGATAACCCTGTGCAGCTGGTCGTCAAGCATTAACTTCTCAGCATCTCTCATGTAGATCTGGAACAATTTTCCATTTCTATCTTTTTCAACACTTAAAGATTCAAACAAAAAAAGCGCAACTTAATCATGGGATATAAGGTTTTTCACTAGCACTACTCACAAAGATTGCACAATAACTAGTACTGAAAGGGAAAGCAGTACAAAGCAATACAGTACGCGAACCACTCAGCTTCCTTCAACTTCAGTGCAGATACTTAATGGCGTACGGAAGATCGTGATAAAATCTCACTTCGCTTTTCAGTAAATCACTAGTGAGTCCTCTGCCACTTCAGATAAATAATACTGAACACGTTGTAATAAATAAAGAACTATAGCCATCGTTCACCTTGGTTACTCCATATTGCACATTATCGGGTTGGAACGACGGATATGTGCTGAGAAACTTCCTTACATCATCTTCGGTACTGGCAAGCCCATTTGGAAGTAGGACGCGGTACTGCTGGATGAAAGCCTACAAATCTCCGCTTTCGATTTTCGATTGCGAGACGAACAAGGACCACCACAACTCACACTCCATTCAATTCGTACACTGTAGCCGGTTCTTCGGATTCGTACCGTCTCCAACATACCCGTATAACGAAGTTGCCGTAAGATGATGTTGTCATCGAAATGGTTAGGGATCTGAACTTGTCATTAGGGAGTTCATGTGCACAACAATATGGAAAGTTTCAACGGAAGTAAGGATGTCTGTAATCTCATCAGAAGTAAAACCGATTAGTCTTAGTATTTATAGAGAGAAAAGAAAAGAGGAAAAACATAAGAACTTTAATAAAACTCCATAACTTTGATCCTACGGAAATTTCTACTCCACTTTTTTGCCGTACTCCTGCTGAAGTTTGTGCCACCAATAACATTCTTGTATGGGAGTACTACATTCACAGATTGTGGAGGCGTCGTAAACTAACGATTATTTAAAAGAAAAACAAGGTAATGCAGTGCACTGGCTCCGTTGTGATAGTAAGAATGACAGAATCATTTTTGAAACAAACGTCAACTGCAGTATAACATAAAATCCCTCTTTTAACTATAGATAAACAACGACGTAGTGAACTGTCTACGAGTTTGAGAAATTCTGCCATTTTAGTAAGTTTCTAAGTGAAATCTTTGGAACCCACTTTGTCGTTGTTGCTCTTGATGCATCGTATAAAGTAGGGCGAAGCATGTGCAAGGGTGCTCATGAGCCGATTCAGCGAATATTCGAATTGTCGCGACACTGATGTCGGCTTATTGGATATCGGCCGCTTGCCGATCGTCTCTTTCAGCAACTGCAGCGATTCGTAAATCTATGATCATCCGTTGGAAAATGTTGCACGACTAACCTCCAAACAACGGACGGTGTTCATGCGCTCCTCTCCCTTGGCTGGTGTTCTCCTTGCTTGATTCACAATCGTCTTGAACATGCTCGTGTCGCAAAAAGGTGGTAGATCGATTTTCAAGTCACCGCGAAGAAACTGCGAGAGAGCCGAGTCGGAGCCACGACGAACTTCCGATAATCCCGTTAGCACTCGAAGATGATCAGTAGACTCTAAAAATTCATTGGCGGCTACGATTTCTATTGGTGACTAAGATTTTCCTTCATGTGGTAACATGGAAAACGACAAACCACTTCTGAGTAGCTTTCTACCAGATTGCTTGAAGGCTTGAATGGCTCGAAACACCGTCCGGGCGAAGCTCCACCTGCATATAAGTTCGTACAAAAATTTCCTTTAACCGGGAATTGTCTTGTCCTTAGCTGCACAAACTTTATATGATAACTTCGAGCAGGTACGGAAATGCAACTGTGAAGCCAGAAAAACATCAGAGCTCACGATAGCCTCTTGCTGAATTTTCGCATTTACCTGTAAACCGCAACTGGGTCGTCACCCAAGATAGCCTTCAACAATGCACATCTACTCGTCTTGAGTGTGTTCAAGACGTCCTGCCTCATGAGATCCTTATTTTTTTCGCGAAATCCCTGAACAGTAAAATTTGATGTCAGTAACATTCAGTAATAGCAAAAATGGTACTAGTAGTAATATGAAGAAACAGTGGTAAAAATGCTAATAAATCACGTGTAACATGACACAGATTAACGGTGATTGGGACAGAGGACCAAGAAACCAATTAACGAGTTAAGATGGTAGGTGTAGGGTTACGTACTATCGCTAAAACACTTCTTTTACGACTGACACCTGTGAGAAAAACGTAATAGAATGAGCAAGCGTGATCACTTGCCAAAGTTTCGCCCACTACAACACTGACCAAGAAGACAGCTAAAGCCAGACGTTCACTACCTCAGCAGTCAGGTTATTTCCTCTTACCGTGATTTGATATTTCACTTTCCCTGCATAGTGGGCGATGATAAATGCCGGCTCTTTGCGTTGTGGAGTCTCGTAGTACTCATTCGTCTGAAACACATCGTTTAACAGTCCGCGGACATTCCTGCTGATCTTAGTTTTCGAAAGCTTCCAATAATTACCAGCAATAATTTGAGACTTCCAATCATGAAGTGAAATTCGAAGCCACTACTTATTAGCCGTAAAGCGTTACAAGATTTTCACCTACCTTAAGAAATTGATTAAGTTTAGCGAGCATTGATTCGTCTGTTCCATTGTTGATATTGCTCTCCTCGTCGATCAGTCGCAACAAGCCGTACGGCTTATTCTAAAGACGGACAGAAGTTCGCTGCTTTCTAAACACCCTCAAGGCAATATCTACCTGAAATAGTTGTACGCATTCCGTGTTGTCCGTATACTCGATGTTGGTCCAGCATATACCTTGTGATTGATACTCCTCCTGTAACGTACCTGCTTGAGAATTTCTTGGGGTTGCACGCAAGCAACTTCTCTTGCCGTATTCGATAATTATAGGAAGTTTTTTTGACAGCGAATGGAGGAAAAGAAACACGTGCACTTGCAAGAAGCAATTGCTATTGCGCGTCTCTAGAGCCAGGCAGGTGAACCACAAGAACCTGTTCGAATTGGAAGATGTGTTGGTTGAAGTACGCCTGGAGATGTTCATTCGCATAGTTGATGCAGAGCTGCTCGAACGAATTCCATTGCGCACCAAGATCTTCGAAACCAAAAATATCCAGAATCCCTGGAAAAACATACATGGTTGCCTACTAAGAAAAAAGCTTCTGGCTTTTTTGTGCTATTTAATCAATCTAGTGTCGACAAGTCGCTCATCTGCAAATATATCTTTATCAACTATTTCCAGCACAGCGTTTAACTTTTATTTGTGGACGAGAGAAAGGCAAAGCAATGGCTTCTGTTGGTGTGATGGACAGCATGCGAGCAATCGGAAGGGGTAACAGCGCGTTTGAAGCTCACCTGAGCTTCCTAGCTGTGCTCATATCTCAGCATCCTTGTAGTTACTTTCAGCACAGTTCAACGTTATATTTGTGTACTTTTTGTATTATTGCAAAATGAACAGCTTCTAACGAATAAACTTCGTTTTTCATTTCCACTTTGTTCAACAACTCGCAGAAAAGTTGAGCGCATGCAGGAGAGCGAATTTCGCCAAGTTCCAATTCCTTCGTAAAAACCGGAAAGCCTAATAAATGAATTCCACTTGAGTTCAACAACTGATAGAAAAAAGGTACCACCGTAGTTATCCAACACAGTAGTTCAAATGTGGATGAACATATGACAATGGAAAGACATTGTAGTGGAATCAAAATCGACTGATGGTTGAAAAACAGATTTCACTAGTGAACCATAAGAGACCAACTCTCTTGCACTTATACAGGAGTCCCCATGTTTCATAAATGTTGTTTCAAAAGCCGAATGAGCTCGAATACGATCTTTGCCCACTTCTTTGCATAGTTAAGAACCAGCGTGCAGAATCGATGTCGATCGGTTGATCGATTAATCGCATAAATTGCTACAGTTACAAGAATCATTAGCTGCCTGGAAGAATTCTACTAGAACGACTGCAAACCATTTCTGATTCCATATGCCGAGGAGTGCCTGCCATGAACAGCTGGGAACGCCATAGGACGGCTTTCCTACGATATCAAGGAGAACAAGGTCTACGCTCGATCAAAACGTCAACGGAGATAGAAGAGGGATCACTAATCCGCATTCGAGCCCACTCACGAACGTGACCACTAATGGATGACAGCTGCAAGACGGTGAAACGAACAGAAGAAGCGATGAGGGCCACACAACTTCTACCGAAAAGTGATCTAAAACCAATAACTTTGTTACCTTTTTTCTACACAATCGCCGATGAATTTCTATGCAATCCATGATCCAATAAACATAAATGCTGCTTTTATTTATTTCGCTATGTAAAAAATAAAACAATAACACTGTCTAGTAAGACTTTGAAACGTTAGGTTTATTCCGAATAATATCAAAAACCCCTCAATTATATTGACTACGTCCGCCTATAACAAAGATTCTAATCCAAGTTTTTTACGATATAGGTGTAGGCATGCACTGATGAACAGCGTGTCCAAATGACACAGGGTTGTATGCTCTCATAAAAATCCCCAGAACCGAGGTACCCTTAATCTCGGCATTGTTCAATAATGCACTGCTTTCTTGCTAAAGCGGTTGCTATTAGACTATTTATTGTCAATATTCTGACTCTTAGGAGGATTTCGCCTTCTCCAGAGGTTAGAAAGGTCTCTTCTCAAAAAGAAAGAAAAAAGACTATAGACTGCAATCTAGTTAGCCAAATACAGGTCACTCTCGATGGTGACAGGCCAGATCGAAATCGTCATAGGATGCATTTACTCTATGATGACGGTGCATGGCTAGAGATTTTCCCAAAAAATCCACTGATAAGAGAAATATCCACTAACCTATGTAGTACCCGACACTACTAGATATATCTTTCCTCATGAGAACCTGATTGATCCGCAAAACAATCCAGTGGAATAGAGCATTGTATATACATTTTGCCATAGCATCTCTTGTATTGATCGCCTTAAAAGGTTACTAATACAAACCTCAAAAAGTAGCACTTTCAATGAGCGAAAATGACACACCTCGGAGACGCTGTAACGAGTGACGACAGTTTCGGTCTTCATCACATGTCGCTTCATTGTCAGCGCCTGAAAGTCGCTTCATTTTCGGATGGAATTAAATCATCATTACCTGGACATCTTCTGTTCCCTATCGTTCGTCACTGTATAATTCTTGGAACATCAAAACACTTCACACAAACGTCTTCCTAATTCAAATGAATAATACGTCTAAGTGAACCTGTCCTATGTAGTTTATGGCTAAATTGGAATCAGCAATTAGGTGTATTCGGCAATTAGTGTTAGTCAGGAGAAAGTTATCTCCTTAGAGTAAAAAGAAAGTTATAAGCTGCGTTTGTAAGGCTGTATAAAATATAGTAGTGAACGGATAGCAGCCTCTATGTTCACTGCTATCGTACACAAAAAGCACATCAATCAGACCACATAATTCTCGCCCATTTTTTCGTGGCTCATTCTTACTAGCAATTTTAACCGAGCTTTCTCTACATTGTCAATTATCCCACGATTCTGTAACAAGCCATTACTATATACAGACGAGCAGTTGCAGATCGAAATGATAGGAGCCACGAGGATTTCATCAGATGGCGATGTAGACCACACTCAGAAATTTTTTCGGTATCCAAAAAGGGTGAGTACTGAAAGTGATTCACCTGCGTCAAAGCCTCAGATTTAATATTAAGTAGCTGTGCGACCAAATCAACGATCTCTTCGTTTTCGATGTAGGCGTTTTCATCGCTGTGGTACCCATGTCTCTGCAATGATTAATTATTATCCCTTTACTGGATCTGAAAGATTAGCGAGTCACCTATTTGAATATCGAACTTTATAAAATTCCTCTTAATTATTGCCTTTAAAAAATACATATTGTTTGGATTATTATCTCTGCTGCAGAAGAATCTAACCCTGAGCCTCTCATAGAAAAATTTTTTGGGATACTTGCCGACTAGCCGCTGAGCGATTCACTCCACCTAATCTCGTAGTAAGCGGCGCCAATGGCAAAATTGTTCTAGGGCTACCGTTCGTATACAGAAAGCTCCGTAAAAATTTGGTAAAAATGGCCAAAATAACAAACGGGCTTCGTTGATCGGCACTAAAGCACATGATAGCCCTTTAATTTCCTCCATCGCATACCTTGATATAAGAGATGTTGCCAAGCAGAAGAACAGCCGATATAAGGCCGAACATCGTCGACTGGGTGCGCGAGTTAAAGCCGACACTGCTCATCGCGCGGCGCAGGCGCTCGAACTCGTACTTCTCGTTCACCCCATCAGGGGAGAACTGCTCATGCTGCAAACAACAGTACAGTGCTGGACGAAAAGAAGCCTTGTACAGTACTGCTAATAGACCTTGTTGAGATAATGGTAATCTTGTGGCTTCAGAAGGAAGTACTTCGAGCGATCTTCCTCGCTCGCACCCTCCAGTAGGTAGTAGAACACGTGATAGTTTCTGAAGAATGGTCGATTTTCATGAAAATGCATAAAATAATAGAAAAAAAACTCCAAAAACGAAAACAGCTGCTTATTTTTCGTATTCAATAAAACAAACATTTGGTAACAGAAAGAAGAAATATGTGGTCGCATATTACTCACAAAACAAAGCAGAGAAAGGTGAAAGGAAATCAAAAACGACAGTTGTTCCTACCGTTCTCCTTTTGCTTGAGATATGATCCTCGACTTCTCTAACAGATAGATTTCTACGTTTGCCCTGGAATTCATAAGTTCAGTGGTTTTCTCAAAGTTTGAGAAATCACTCTCACCCTGAGACCATTCCATTTTCCCTGTAGTTAATTTTGATGAACTTCCCGAATCGACTGCTGTTATTATTTTGGAGTGTGACCGCGTTACCAAACGCCTAAAACGATTACTTCGTTCATCTTGCGAGAAAGCCTCAACTGATCTATCGAATGAGTCGGCCAAATGGGGCCAATTTTATTCCTGTTCTCATACTGACAAAAGCTATTTTTTCTCGTTTTTAAAGTCCAGAAAGTCTTCTTTCAATCTTCTTTTTAAAATTCAGATACTCAGACATAGAGGTCTACGCTAATAAAAAAAAATGCTTCCAACTTCTAAATGTCGTTCGGTTCGGAGAATACTATCAGAATCAAAGACAAAGACTGCTTTTCAATACTTTACTACAAACAAATGGAAAATCAAATTTTCCGTTAAGAGTGGAACTTTTGCAGCACTTCCAATTACTTATATAAGTTTTAAATCGAGCAACTGAGAATGAGCAGCTTAAAAATGGCTATTGAACAGCTATTTTGAGTAATACAGTAATCCTTCATGAACCACGCAACCACCTCAAGCACTGGTCCCGTATTCAGTAGGCTGGTTTCCGTGCTACAAGCTCGGCTACCCTTCTGGGATAGCGACGTGAGATGGGAGATCAAATGATTGGTGCATTCGGTCTTGCCAGACCCACTTTCACCACTGATCACTACACACTGGCTTTCTTTGATGCGTAGAAGACTGAAAATAAATTATGCAGTAAAAACGAAGGTGTAAAAGTTGTAAGGCACAAAGAAAATGGTGCAGTAACAAGAAAATGTGGCTGCAATCATTCCATCCTTGTACAGACAAGACGACGCATAGCTGTCGGCGTTGAAAAACCGATACACATTAATTTATGAAAATAGACAAGCCGGTTTTCGTCCGTCATTTGGTACTGATATTTCACCAGCAACTTACTTGTGATAGGTTACATCAGCGATGGCAAATATGTGCGGAGGAAGACTTCCTAGCTTACGGCTTTTGGAATACAAACGGGCGTACTTCGGGTTGTAAATTGGGAAAAAGCTGAAATAACTCCATAATGAGTTGTTAAAACCAGAAAAGGCAACGATTTATTAGTTTTAGAAGCTATTAGCATTTGATCCAAAGTAGAACAATCAGCTTACAATTTTGCCAACAACCATGAACTATGAAAGAAAGTAATAAAAACTCATCAGAAGTACCAAGCCAGTATGATGATCTACCTGAATGGGTTCACAGCGACCAGAATCGGACCGATATAGGTGTAGATGTGTCCGCTGTTAAAACGGTCTCTCAAGTTGTCGAGCAGCGTCTGTTCTGTCAATTCAGGCAACATACAAAGGTCTGCGTACTCCCGATCCTTAAACGAATGTCTCAGTTGAAAAGACTCTGATTATCCGTGCGAAATAGCTTCTGAGAGATTTCACAAAAACTTTTCAAACTAAATATCTCGTTGCATTCATAAGTCCTCTTAGTTGCCCAAATCAAATCGAGTGGCGCTACAAAGATTTATAATTTGTAAGAAGTAACGACTGTGGACAGTCGGCTTGGACGTAGGCGGGTCGAAGAAAGTGATAGTGCCGAAGCATTAGTCACAATAGAGACCTTTAAAAACCTCGAGTAGACTTATTAATGCAACAAGATTTTAATCATCCATGCTGAGCTGAAGGTAAAGTCGCCTTATCAAAACTTCAGTCTTAGTTTTTATGATAACACTTGCAATAGGTTGTTGAAGAAAACGAGCAAGGAACGCGTCGATGGTACTTGCTGTTTCAGCGGATCCAAATCGGGTACACGAAGAACCAGTACGTGTTCCCTTATGCCTAGACAAAAAATGTCAGCCCAAATTTCGAAATATACTTAGAAACAGACTGATAATTAACAAAAGCACCTAAAAACGAAGCGGTAATTGCTGATAGTCTGTTCGCCGCCTGGCATTCTGCTCCAGATAAGCTGTACTGCTACCGGATATTCATCCCGATCCAGACGGCGCTCCTGAATCATACCGTAGTGAAGAAGACATGCCCCAAATAGCGTCATCCGAACAGTGATTTCCTCAAAACTCCAACATTTTTAACTTCAACTCAGTGTTCAATTCACCGAAATTATAGTTAGTAATGAAAAAACTTTAACAGTTTGGCAACAAAATGCACGTTCTCCTGATCATCCATATGTCGAATCGTGACTCTTTGGAGCCCCCAAAACACGTATTTTCTCCACTTATCTCCGTCATGACTCATATTTCAAAGAGGAAAGAACGACGACAAGCGATATTTCGCCCAGCACAACTCGATGGTATTCCTCTATTTATCACTGGCTTTTGCAGCTACCACGCTTATGTGATAAACTTTTTAAAATTTTCTGGTCAATAACGAAGGTGGAGAAATGGCTTGTTTTAACGCCTATCACCTTTATAAATTGCACAAACTGTAATTTCTAAAGTTGTTAGAAGGCTATGGACTGGGAAAAGGACAAGGAAATTTCTGGAATTCTAAGTAATTCAATGCAGACTGATTGCTACTAGAAGCTCCCGATCGACTTACCTTCGAGGCTTGTCCATCAGGAGTTACCATCATTTCATAGATGTCAAATTCTTCGGTAGATTTCCCAGCAAGATCTGAAGAGAGATTCCTCTGCAACCAATTATAATTTATTGTTGACTAGAATGTTTCGTCCCTTCATGTTTTCTGCGCTTCTATATCATCCTCATGGAATTATCGATTGGAATTAAATTTAATAAAAAGTTTATTAATTAGTAATTTAATTAGTTTTGAGCTGGAGTAGTTATATGATATGATTCCGAGGGATGAAGCCTACACATATAAACTGTTCATTCATTTCTCGCTTTAGTAAATTCCTTTCGATATCTATCTGGGGAATAGGGAAAAAACTCCATTACCATGAGAATCAGGCGAAATTACCTGTAGTTAGAGCTACTTCATACAATCAAATAAAACATTAACCAAATATCAAATGCAGAGATAGTTTCCCTAGAGAGATGGAACTCGGTAAGAAAACACTCTTGTCTAATACGAAGCATAAGTGTGACTTAAATGGCTTTAAACATTGCCACTTTTCTGAAGGCCTTGAAGCGATGCTGGTAAACACCGTTACTTTCAGCGCGTTTAAAGGTGTCACATCTGGCTGCAGGAATATGTATTGGAGAACTAAAGATAAAAGGATTGACCAAGAAAATATGAACTATGCAGTGACCTCGGGTCTCATCCTCCTGAAAGGGATCAGCACGCAGTTTGGTTCTCTACTCACGTCTTCCATAATGTTATTGTCCGCTATTACGATGTCCTCTTTATGAAAAATGACTGGGTATTGATATTTTTCAAAACTCTTATTCGACTCCGTCAATATAATGCGTTTGTTCCTTTATGTTGTTTCGAATATAAAATAATATAAGATATATGCCGAGAATATGGGAGGCGTAGTTGTAGCGAGGCCATACAAGGCCCTGGTACGACCCTGCCCCAAGCGAACCAAACCTTCTGTCTTTCCCTAGTACCAGAACTGTTACGGAAGTTCCCTCTGACCCGCAGAACCTACTAAGACTCCATAACGGCTATCCCAGAATTCCAACGAACTCGTTCACCACTCAGCGAGCGAATAAGAAAGACGAGAAATCCTCAAGCACTAGTCGAACCCAAACACAAGTCCTATGACCTTTGTGGATGATGGATACGAGGAAACAAATCGAATGCAAAAAGTGTTGCGATCCTTACAACATGTGATGTACAGTCGTGTAAAATAAGATTCATGCGCCATCCATTAAATTCTATCAAGCATCGTTAGAGGTGAATGAATGCATATTTCACCTATGCATTGACTCCCGGTGGCCCACCGATGTGTTGAGACACTGTTGCATTTCTCCTAGACAATTCTGGTACCAGCCCGTAGACACCAAAGACTTGGTGAGCATTGAGTACGAGATCAAACCCATGTGTTGTAGTGCACCTCCAACCACTGCTCTACACTCGTCCCATATATATATATATATATATATATATATATATATATATATATGCATATGCATACATATGAACATATGCATTACATACATATACATGTATATGCATACATTGGTGTACAAATAAAAGACTATATATACTACGATCACGGTCCTGGCCTGCTCCCGCCCCATGCTTACCAAGCCTCTCATCCCTCCGAGGTAGGGAAATTGCTACCGGACTTGTCTGAGAAAAGAAATCACTCTCTGCAATCCAACTGGGAGCACTTCGGCCCGGCTATATCAGGGCACCAGGGAGAATTGCTCGACCAGTATTCTACAACATTCAAGATGAAATGAAAATCCTCAAGCAACAGCCGAAGTCACAATTAAATGTTGGAAAATATTCGTGGATTCTGGATACGAAGAGATGAATCGAAAGTGAGAAGTGCTGGTATCCGCACAACAGACGTGAAGATCGGTCGTGTAAAAAAATAGAAATAAATAAATATACATATATGTCTGCTGACCTGTTTTTGTGTTAAAAATTGCATAAATTATCCCCTTGTATTTGGCCTTATTCGTGAAGCTGTTCACAGACCGTTTCTTAGTTGTTCAAGTTACCCGACGGCATGACATTGTTACCGATAAAACATCGAAAATTGTCTGCGCATGCAAAATCATTTACACTGGCATGTGATCGATAATATCCACGATAGAACAGAACTGATTAGACTCAGCGACACCATGTTCTGGACTCGTCAAGAAGCAGAAATCGTTGAGCGGAAAAAACTCCCATTCACATTTTACGAGTATTGGCGTGGTGTCGTTTGTTTCTTTAACGTCAAATGCAATTTCGTGGTCGATGCGGCTGAGATTTTACCACTACTTTTATCTTTAGCTGACCCGATATCACATTATGGAGACTTCTCCATTACGTTCCTTTCCTCGCACCACTATTTACGACGTTATCCAGATTTTTACGAGGATTTGGCTGCTGCTTCAGAATTTCTGGGCTTATTCACGAATACTACTTTGACTTGATGACAGTGCCTGCAGGTCGACTAGATTTACCCTGGAATCCTGGGAAAACAGTGTTAAAACCTTACTAGGTCCTTACTACAGGCAGTCGCCAGTCTTCGTGGACTAGAGGAAGTATACGATTTTGAAGTAGAACGGTTAGTTAAATTTCCTAATTATTGCTTCCGTTTGTTTTCCAGAGATGCTCTACTGAGGTAGGCCCTACTTGATACAGAGATGAAGACGCCACATCACGAAGACGAGCAACTGTGGACAATCGACCCGGATCATCGGCTCTGATGAAGACGAAGATGTCGAAACATTAGCCGAATAAAGTGTACAGCAACCTCGTGTAAGCTCAACAATTTAAACACATGCTGATTAGTCATAAAAACGGCAAAAGAAAGACGGTTTCAAATTACTGTTATGTTTTTTCCTCACAGCAGTTCGCTGCCTCATCGTGGCTAGGAGATTTTCCTGGGTGTCGGGCTGTGATGTACAGCGGGTGGATTCATCCCCCAGCGGGGTCTCCCAATCTGAGAAGGAGTCTAGCGTTTCCCTCAGGAAATCTAGCTAAGAGTAAACTAATACCAGGATCCACCACCGTCCTGGTACCAAATTAGTCGCATATTGGCAAATCTCCCTCTGGTCCTTAAGGACTGCGACTGCCTGTGGTGGTGATGGGACAGACTTTGCCCAGGCTGACCTTGGGACTCCAGGAAATCACAATAACTAAAGCAGCTAAACTCCGAAAAAAAAATGGAGATTATGCTAGGGCCCGCACAACTAGTGAGGACGGGCCATCCAAGTATACAAGTAGGTTTCCAGTTATTATTTTTTCACTAGTTCAATTCTTTGCCATTACGAATTGCATCATATTAATGTTGTAGCGTAGAAAAATATTAAGATTGCATTTGTTTGCTACCAACTATTTCCCTTTCCGAGAGTCGTCCTTGTTAACAATAAATGTAAATGGAACATACTAAACAGTGCTTCACAGGCGATGATGAAAAATCCAAAATCAACTTTTAACTACATTTAGGAATTTTGGACTTAACTTCCTCCTTGTTGGAGCTTGTCGGTATAAAAGTTACTGAGTAAACGGGTAAAGGATAAAGCTCCGGGTGTTGATCAGTCCCTGAGGGATGCACCATGCATTCGACTTCATTAAGCATCGCTAGAGGTGAATTAGGGCAGATATGGCCTACACAATGACTCCAGGTAGCCCTCCCATGTGTCGGGTCAATGCTGCAATCCTCCCAGACAAGTCCAGTACTAATTTGCCGACTCCAGATGGATAGAAGGTTTGGTGAGACTCGGGCGTGGAGTCGAACCTGTGTACTGCAGGGTACAATAACCACTGCACTGAATGCGCCCTAACTTGCTGAGTACCTGTAAGAAATTACAACTTAAGCTCATCGTATTTTAGGAAATCTTTATCGCTATGACGATAAACCGATCCAAGATTGCGTTGAGCAAAATCACAACTCACTCCATCACAACAAATTCAAATTCCACCATGCAGAGACACATCACCCACAACCATTTTACTGATAAAACTACATAGTTTCACATAAATGCTCTTCAATTTAGGTATCGTCGTTCATTTATATGCCCTTTCGTAGAAAAGCAAAGTGTTGTTTACCTCATATCTCATAGAAATTTTTATATTTCTCTTCTTACTAAATGAGGCTCGGTTTCAATACAGAAGGATCATAGCACTTCTAATATTTAGCGGAGTTCCCTTTCGTTATTCTGAACTAAACCCCTCTCATGTTGAAGGATAACAAATTTGAAATACTTCTGAAAGACGATTCCGTTTCTTGATTACTACGTTATGAAAAAAAATTAGCTGTGTCTATATTCCATTTCCAATTCTACTCCAAAGGCATCCCCCGCACAATTTCTTGAAAAGATTTCTTGTTGGATAGTAGTTCTTTCACTTATTTGTACGATCATACTTTAATGGTTATGCCGATCCAAGCTCGTTCTTTATTCGGTTTGGTGTTTTGCATCCGTCATCTACAAACGTAACCGGATTTCCATGTGGTTTGGCCTGCCTCTTGAGGATTTTGTCTTTTAAACGAACGTCGTTGGATGTTGGTCGAGTCGATTCACCCTAAAACCCTGGGATAGCTCTACTAGAACACTTCCAGCTCTCCGTCACAGCCAGTCGCCGATGAACTTTACCTAGACAAGTTTAGTAACTTCCCAACCTCAAACGGATAGAAAGTCTGCCTGATTCGGAGCTACGTTGAGCATTCGTATCTTACACAACACTTATAGCCATTACCCTTCTCTTGTCCTCTTATAAAATAGTCATATGCCATTCGTGTGATGCAACCACTTCGTCAAACTTTGCCTGAGTCGTTAACTGTCATTACCGGTAAGTAATGAAGCTTTTAAACATTTTCAATTGTTGCATGAGGCGACTATATGGATGAAGAGCTGTATGTGACAGATACCTGATCAAGTACTCCTCAAATTTTCTTTCTAATCGTTAGGTTTGTTACACATTAATAGTATATGTAATCGATGAAATTTGGTTAGCTACGGACAGTGGGTTCAAAGAGCCATGACCTATCCCATCATTATAAAAAAATGTGTTGTATTTATTTTTATCCTCCCTCATCGGCTTTCATGTCAACCACATAGAAAAAACTGACTGGAAACTTCTAGCTGGATTAGTAATGCAAAATTGCTACCTACATGAATAACTGAGTTTTCCCAAAATCGCAGTACTTCTTCGATTCATTCCATTGTCTTACAGTAGTCATTCACTGGGGTAGTCGGATCCTGATGTGGATTGTTCACGCATTAATAGTCCGGGAAATGTAAGCTTCTTCCATAACTAACAGTTCGAATGCTAATAGAACGTGATTTCTCTGAAAACTTGAAGCAGCTGTGCACCTTTCTTACAAGGTATTCAAGAGTAGTCCACCAAGAAGAGTTTGCTGCCTTCCGACTAGCATTCTAAAGACCACAACGTATCTTACAATCAACTAGTCTATCGACCGCTCGACAACGATATATGCATAAAAGGCCGCATGTTCACAAAAAGTTACTTGTTCTGCTATGAGCGCTTGATATCCAAAAAGATTCCCAGCCTATGCAACCATGAAGGAAAACAAACTCGCATTTGTATCATCGTTCGATGGCCCAGAGAACCCTCTCGCAGTGTTATGCTATAAGTTTTAAAATAAAGCTTTGCTTAAAGAGTGAAGCACGTACAAAACAATACATCATAAACTAGAAAAAAAACTACTACATTCGATCCACTTATGAAGTGATTAAAGCACTGTATGCGGCTAGAAGGGCACTACTTGATCGTTCAATTCACAGCCAGCTGTTAGTGATGACTGTGCTTGTTGAGCCAGTAACCGTTTAAAAGTTGATGACATCTAACGACTATGTCACACTTTATCAAGCTTATTGGAATACCACAGAGAGCGCATAGCGTAGCGGTAGTGAAGCTCAATCATTACGAGCACGGTGCTGGCTCCACCCTACAGCACGCTCGCCAATTCTGCCATCCTTACGGTGTTTGGAAATTGGTACTAGACTTGTCCAAGAAAAGTTAGTTCCCTCTAATTCAAGTAGAAACGCTCGAGCATGCCTATCTCAGGACTCCAGAGAAAATCGAGTGCACCAGCATCCAGCGATCTTCAAGAAAATGATAACAGAAATCAAGCAGCAGTCGAGACCATATGCAAGAGGTACAAAAATCTTCACGCGCAATGGATGCGAATAAACGAATGAAGTGCAAGAAGTGCTGGTATCTGCGTAATAGATGTCAAGGTGGGTCACGTAAACTAAAAATAAGAAGAATATCAGAATACTGTAACATCTTCACTAGATTTCGAATCCAAATCCTATCTGTTTTGGGCTCGATCGGCCAAACCCACACCGCAACCAAGGTTACTATTTTTGAATAAAATTTGCTACGTCTCTTGCCTTGTCGCATTGAGATCACTCTCTCTATTAACTCCTTAGTTGTGGACCGCTTGTGTAAGTCAACACAAACTCGGTCGTTCTTGTTTTCCGGATTGAAACAGTACATGTACACCTGAAACAGCACAAACAACATGAAGCTTGTAGCTAAGTATAAGGAAAATCTGAACTCCTTTACAAGAAAAAATTGGCATCCATTTAAAAAATCAATGAATTTGAAGAATTGCAGTATGAGATATACTTCGATTCTACGACGACGCGCTCCACACTACAACAATGCTGTGAAGGTGTCATAGCATGTAACAAATCCCGTGACAGATTTCATCATCCACCGTTGCTCATCAGCGACCACAGTTATCCAGCTGTCGCACTGATTGTCCACAATTGCCGCAGCTGGTTAAAGGATGAAGAATAAAGTGAACGGCGTTGATCTATCCTTGAGTGGTGTAGCATCCATTCGACTACGACAAGCATTGCTGGATATGATTAAATGCAAATGCGGCTTATACAATAACAGGAGATGGCCTCTCTCTGTATGAAGTCAGCATTTTTATCGTGCTAGAGAAGCCTGCCAACAATCTGCCGACCACACATAACCGGGGGGCTTGATGAGAGTGCGCGAAATCGAACCACCTGTCTAGCGCGGGGCACCTCTAACGACTGCACTACACTTTCCCCACAGTTGGCTACGAATACTAATAGAAATGGTCGTCACTGTACGGTTTTCTCCTCAAATGCGCATGCAAAAAGCAAGGTGTCGCTCTCCTTATTAATAATGGGTGTAGTGTACCGCCCACATCTATAGCCCTATCATAATTACAACTCAACAGCTGTTCTTGTAAGTGAATTCCAATAGTTTTTTCATTAAACGATTCCAAGGGACCTAGTTAGGTATATGTAAACACATTCTATTGTTGTCGGAAGACTGATAGACCCAGTACTAAAATAACAGACTTTACGAGTAATAATAAAAACACTTTATGTTTAACTTTGTGAAGTGCCCATAAACGACTATTTTCACATTATACGGACCAGCAGCGAACTTACAACACAGTGAAGTCTGCCATCAAACCAGTCAACAACAGCGAAAGCTACATTCCGGAATCACTTGCAAAGAGTGGCAATGATTGTTCGATAGTTAACAGTAGTAACTATACGATTTGCCTACCGTAATCATATAGGTATGAGCTTCATCAGGTGCAGTGATTGTGTGAGCACGACGGGGAAAACATCCGACTGCTCCAGACGAAATCGAATCAAAAGACATCGTGTTGGACAGGCATCAGATTGCTAATCGCACAGAAAGTAATACCGTCGCTCTTCTGCGAATTTGTTTAATGCACTCACGCTCATAGAGATACCAAAATAGAGTTTCCAAACCAGACCGATTTCCTGAACTCACAATTATATTTTGCATAAAAAATCTTGGTAGTTTCAAACAATCGAATAGTTTATCGGCATCATTTGAGGCTATAAATTTGACGATACAGGTTACGGATAGCACATGCAAAGCATAGTACGATTTTCGTTAGTTTTAGCCCTGGAGCGCCGATTTCTCATCTGGGCTACATTTGTAAATAACTACTACTATTACTACTAAAGAAGTTCCATTTCATTCCGTTTCTTTTATATTGTGACGACTTGGAGGAAACCTAGCATGGCTTTGCAGACTCGAAAAAAGAGAACGGAAATCTTTCCCAGCCAACAATATAGAAATTGTATCGGAGATTTTTCTGATTAGTAGACGCCCGACATTCAAGTAGACATGTAAACGAGTCGGTCTCACAATGAAGAGGAACAAAAAAATCACCATGTGGAATATATGAGAGACCATTACATAGATGAAGGCACAAGGCTTAAAGCTAGTGTGTCACCTCACCTTTCTCAAGTATTTTTATTATAATGAAAATTCTAAACGGCGAAAGACGTTGTAAGAAAAACGAAATAAACCTCAATAGAACGCAATGGATACGAAGTGAAAAAAAAGTGTATTGGGATGAGGTTATCTTGTTAAATGTACTTTTGGAGGCCGAACAGGACAAGAAAATAACACTGATTACGTGAGCACTGTGTTTTAAAAATATTTGTGACTCACTGCACTCAAAGAAGATGACGAAAAAATTTGGACGTTCGAAAAAACGCATAGGAAGTCTTGTTTACAGAACTTCAACACTGACAGAGAAAACAACATAAGGTCACATCGATTACATCGACATCGATCACTCAAATAAAGTCTCGGAATAATGTTAGAACGGATAAGAATACAAATAGCAGAGATATATGAACTGAACAAACCAGACAATTCCACTTCAATTCATTGAAAGATAGCGCTGCGATCCAAGGTAATTTCTTGGTAGTATCAGTATATGCTACGAAGTAATAGTAGCTCTCTTGACAGTATTGCACTCAAGGTTATGTAGAGCACGAGTGCTCTTACCGGTGCAAAACATCCTATCTGAAAAGGCGTGGGCGTGCGTGAGCAAATCGACGACGGCTGGATTCGAATTGCTCGGATCTGGGGTGGTGGTGATCCGATAGATCAATATGCGGGGTAGAAAAAGGTAGGTAGAGTGAAGGCGATGAGAGGGACGGGAGAGATAAGTGGGTGGAGCTCGATGAAGCTGACGGCTGCCGCTCGCACTAAGCGCTTGCGATCGGCCGATCGGTAAGAAACCGTGAGTTCGGGAACAAAGCACGAAGTTCCGGCGGCACCTCGACCCCTAATCATAGTCAAAGCAGATATTGATAGAACTAGCTGAGAGACTGGCGAAACGAAGGACCTGCATGGTGTGGTGGTGAATGCGTTACTCCCCGGGAAGGACAACAGCGCGTTCGTCCCCACCGCAGACACCTGCGGTCCGGAGTTTTGTAAATATCTCAGCATCATTGAAGTTATATTTCGCAATATACCCTGCCATTAAAAAGAATAGGTAGTAAATAGTAAGTTAAAATAGTCAAAGCAGTTCGTGTCTTTGGTTCTCGTTCAGTCTCTACTAGTAGTATTCTCTCGGAATTCCGAGTATTCACTGATAAAAAAGCTGATTGCAACGTCTTGAAAAAAATGTTTGTTATATCCCCGTCAAAACTTAAGCTTTCCGTGAAAATGGTTGAAGTTGCTACCCACGTATTTCAACTGATCATAAAAGTCTAGTGCATAAATCATGACACTACAAAAAAAGAACACCAAAACACGACCATATCAAAACACATGGAGAACTAGCTCTATAGTAGCAAATCAGCTTGCATAATACACCTGGAATAGGGCAATGTTGTGGAGTATTCATTTTGCTTAAACTCAGCCAGAATGGTAAGATCGTCCTCCTAGATAATACATTTATTTTTCTAATGTTCACATGACCGGGCATCACACTTTGTGCAGATCCCATCATTTCTTTCATTTGATTTGTTTTCTCACATCCATCATCCACAATAATCTTTGCATTTGTGTGTGGCTCCGAATGCTTCTTCTAATGATTTGTTCTTCTTCACGAATGCTAGTCGACTTGACTTTTTCTAGAATTTCGAGCTAGCTGTACTAGAGAATTCCCAGCACAGATACTCAGCAGTCACTACCCTTTGTCAATCGTAGTGGGCTTCACAGACAAGTCTGGTACCAATTTGTCGACCCCTGATTGCTATGAGGCTTTGTTGGCACTGCACAGGGTCGAACCAGACCCCGTGCTCATATTATTGATCGGTACCTTTTAGCCACTGCGCCTCAAGCAGCACTGTATTACTTCACAAAATTTGTTGAGAGAAACGATTTAATGAACCTAGTCGATAATGAAATGTAGTACTAACTAAACTAGCTAAAGGCACTAGCTAAACTCATTTCAACGGCACTAGCTTACATAATTTCTGCTAGAGTTATATATAGAATAATTAATGCAAAATTTGAAAACAATAGGTACGCTTAGACCATACGAGAAATTTGTAAAGAATTTCACATTCCCGGCACAGTTTTCCATTCCATATCAGCAAAGATCTTTCTGCTTCCGTTTTTTGGACAAAAATGAAAAATTACGTTAGCTGTCAGCTAAATACTTGCTGGAATACTTCGATGTCCTCACTGGTTGTATGGGCCCCAGCATAATCTCCATTTTTCGGAGTTTTGTTGGTTTAGCTATTAGCTATTATGTTTCTCTGGAGTCCTGAGGTCTGCCTGGCCAAAGTCTGACCCAGCTCGTCACCACCACAGGCAGTAGCAGCCCTCGTGGATCAGAAAGACATTTGCCACCGTGTGACTAGTTTGATACCAGGGCGGCGGTCGATTCTGGTATTGGTTTACTCTTCGCTGGGTTTCCTGATGAAAGCGTCGGACTCTTTCTCGACTTGAGAGTTCTGGGAGATAAATTCCTCCGATATACATGGCAGCCAAACACCCAGGAACCCCTCCGGGCCACGAGGAGACAGTAAACCGTTGGGACGGTCAACTAAATAGAAACGATGAAATTTCAAGGAGTATCACTGAGCGCTAAAACATTCTCACTAGTATTAAACTAAGCACTAGTCATTAATGGCGATCTCGTCGGAGGCCTATTTCCTAATCTCGTGTTTCCTTCCGGGCTACATAACCTTCAATCGATTGGTATCACCTGTATTAGCTGGCGTCCCGTTGATCGTTGAGCGACTCGAGCGAGCGCCAATGAACCTTTCATTTCTGCAGTCGCGTGCAAGAGTAGTCCAGTTGGTTCTGCTAGCTCTAAGAAGTCGTTGACCCTCACGCTTTTCTTCTACACTTTTCATGAAGAACTTTGACTGTCGGGTCGGTGGTCTTCCCGTAGTGCGTTTAACATCACGAGGAATCCAGTCACTAGCGGCTCTTGTCCATCTGTGGTCGTTTATACGCATTACGTGTCCGGCCCACCTTGTCTTCGATCGCTTGGCGTACAGAACGGCATTATTGATTTTTGATCACTGACAAATGTCGGAGCTTCAGATTCCTTCCTTAACTTGCATGATACGGGATATCTTTGGCATCGTCCTTCTGACGCTGCGTTCTATAACACTGAGTGATCTTTAACCCTGCCTGCGGTACCACCAGGTTTCTCAAGCATGCGTTAAGGCAGGGGGAGTCATAGAGTCGAAATAGTGGACAGAGTCGGAGGTTCGTTGGTCTCCTCACTACATTATCGTTACTCTTAAAAGATATTCAAGTCGCTCTCTTCTTCCTGCTCAGTTCTGGAGCTAAGTCGTTCATTGTGTTGCGTCCCCGACAATGATATAAGTGGCTGGAGCACACGAAAAGATTAGTTCTTCAAAGCCTGCATTGAACATAAGAAACTAATCTGTTCTTCATGAACGTTGTTTTGTGAGATTTTGGAGAAGACCTATCTATCCACAAGCGTCATGAGAGTCGATATGAATTCATAATGCTAGACTAGTACGTGGTGTTATAAGAGCGATGTCATCAGCAAGATGAAAGTGATGTAATTTCTGACCATCGATTTTCACTCTCATGTTGTCCCATTCCAGTGTTCGCATGACGTTCTCGAGGGTGGTGGTGAATAATTTTGGCGAGGTGGTATCGCCTTGCCTTTTTGTCGTCGATCTTAATATCGTTCTATAATGGTGATATCTTGGTTGTAAAATTTTTATATAGCTCACGAAGAATTTCAGAAACTGAGTGGACACTCCAAGGCTGACCATGGCTTTCATGACTGCTTTGGTCTCAACTGAGTCAAGACCTTAACCTTTTTTATTTACTGCCTATTCTTTTTAACGGCAGGGTATGTTGCGAAATATAACTTCTATAATGCTGAGATATTTGCAAAACTCTGGACCGCAGGTGTCTATGGTGTGGAACGAACGCTCTATTGTCCTTTCCGGGGAGTAACGCGTTCACCACCACACCATGCGGGTCCGTCGTTTCGTCTGTCTCTCAGCTAGTTCTTTCGATCTTTTTGCCATCAGCAGTCACCCGTCAACGGGATTGATTTGAATGCCGATTTGAGCTCCCCAAATATAAAATATCCTTTTTTCGTTAACATTTCGGTGACCGGTATAGGTGTTAGTTTTCATGCGGCATCGCGACCGGGATGACCTTTACAGGAGCCACCTTCTTTCAGGTGGTTTATTTTGGGTTCTAGAACTGTTTTCCTTCACTACTTTTCTGATCAATCGATAGCTAACTCAACGCACATTCTACGGAGAGCATTGGTCATGAGGAGGTGTACTGTTAATAATTTTTCCGCTAATAATTTACGAGAGTCTCATCTCAATCTAGTTCATTTTGTAGGCGAAGAACTGTTGCTTTTGAAGGGCGTA